ATTCCTTCTAAGTCCTTATCTGAGAAGGATATGACCTTGCTGGCACCATGCCTAGGTGTCTTGGATAGGTGCAATTCGTTGAGGTGCCTCATTTTTCTGGCGTGGGTCTTCATGGCAGAGAGTGATTCTCCACCTCTTACTAGTCCTTCCGAGATGATGTGGATTTTTCCAATGGCTGCTAATCTTCTTGATTGTGAGGTGGTGGTGCCTGTCCCCTACTAATAACATACTGGCGTAGGTGACCGCGTTGGATGAGTTCCTCAATTTATCTTTTGAGATCATAGCAATCATCGGTGTCATGCCCGTGATCGCGGTGGAAGCGGCAATACTTGTTTGAATTTATGCAATTTGGAAGGACTTCAACTTCCCTGGCCACTTTATTGCGGGGTCATCTTGGATCTGAAATAGGATGTGCCCGACAGTAGCATTGAGGGGAGTGAAGGCTTGTCAGTCCCTCTAAGGAGTAAGACCTAGTCGATTTTTGACGGAACCTTTTCTGTCTGCTACGCTTGTTGCTAGTCTCCTTCTTGTCGTCCCTCTTTCTTTCCTTCCTCTTTTTCCTTGCTCTGGAGGACTTACCTCGCCTAGTCCTTGTGATGTCCTCAGCATTCATGTATTTTTTGGCATTTGCTAGTAGCTCCGGCATACTCTTTGGTGGACCCTTCATCACTGAGAAGAGGAAGCTTGACAAGTGGAGGCCTCCCAAGAAGGCAGTCATAGTCATTTTGTCATCAGACTCAATAACTTAGAGGACCTTCTTGTTAAAATGAGTAAGGTAGCTTCTTAGGCTCTCATCTCGATCCTGATTTATGCTAAGCAGGTGGGTGACAGGCTTCTAGTAGTGTCGCCTTTCAATGAAATGTGGCACGAATGACCTGCCCATCTCAGCAAAAGAGGCAATGGAGGCTGGAGAGAGCTTGGCGAACCATTGTCGGGTGGATCCCTTCAAGTGGTTGGAAACGCCCTACACATGATTTCGTCTCGGACGTTGTGCAGCGGCATCAGAGTTTTGTAGGTGTCGAGGTGGTCTAGTGGATCCTTCGTTCCGTCAAAGGTCTCCACAGATGACATTTTAAACTTTTGCGGAGGGAATAATTGCCACATCAGGTTTGAAAGATGTGTATGTTCGCCTTACCAGGTAGTCCATTGTCTCGGGTCCTTGTGCCTTCATGGCGTTGAAGACGTCACCCAATTGATTTTGCACTTCCTTAATTTTCTCGTCTCAGTGATTGAGGGCTCCTCTGAAATGATCATGGGAACAACTCCTATGCTCCATGCTTTGGTTTTCATCATCTTCCTCTTAGAGATGAGGGTCTTCACTATGGGAAGTAGGAGGAAGAGAAGGTGGATCATGATGGGCTCCCCTGTTTGAGGCGCCCAAGGGGACTCTAAAAGGGGCGCCCAGATCTGCATGGGCGCCTAGATGAGGAGCAGCAAGGTGTGGAGCTCTTTGATGTCCAAGGCGTGGAGCTCCTTGAGGTTTTTCGAGCTATGCTCTCCTTGTCCGGTGAGCATGAGTTGCATGATCTGTTGGTTTTGGGCCATCAGCTGTTGGATGATCTCTAACATTTGCTGAGGATTTGAAACTGGAGCATTTGGGACAGGGTTGGTAGGTGGAGGAGCAACCTTTTTCTCACGTGGTGAATTATCCTCAAGTTGATTTATCGATCTGGTGGTGATCGTCATTGGTTCAATAGAAAGAATGATTAGAAGTGAGAATTTGGTCGGTTCCCACAGACGGCGCTAAACTGATGATGCACAAAATGACTTTGCACACCACCTGTCAAATAATTGAAAATAAATGTAGTAATTAAAAGTAAAGAGAGAAAGAGGAGACGAGATTTATAGTAGTTCGGTCAACATGACCTACGTCCACTTTTAAATAGCTTTGGTCGTCGGGTACTCAATTAATTCAGGGGTGCTTGGAGAGCAGAGAATACAAACTTTGAGAGGGAGAAGAGAATTGTGCTCATGCGAGAGTGTGTTGATGATGATCATGCCCCCCAAGTATTGGCGGGCTTACAATTTATAGTCGCCCCCTAACAGATTGGGGCGACTTAATAGCCACTACATAACTATTCTAGAAGAACTCACGACTTCTCCTCAACGTGCGAGGTGGTTGCGGCGCTCTCCATGAGACTTCGTCAAAAATAAGGTGAGGTTTGACTATTCCCAAGGTGGTGCAGGTGAGGCTCCTGAGCTCTCTTCATGACGTAACCAAGTTGATGAGTTTAACTGGGCTTGGACCTCGTTTGGCCTGCTGGGTTTTTATAATTTGACCCCTTAATTAGGGCTTTCAACATGGATTTGGTCCTCTTGGGCTTAGTCCATCATAACACATTATTAAGTTTAGAAATACATGAAAGATAGATTGTTTCATCATATTTTTTTCCAATCAGAGAAAGAATATGAGTTCCCACACGCAAAGGTATATCGAAAGACAGTTCAATAAAATATATTTTATTTTTTTCGGAGTTCTCCGATATTTTTTAAATTTTGTGAAAATTCTAGGGTCTCACTGAAGAGTTTTAGAAAATTTGGAGCATTTTACATATTGAAGAAATTTTGGGGTTATTCTAGAATATAGAAAAAAAGCTTGCCTTGGACTATTGCGTAATTTCAACCTACTATTCTTTAATGGTTCGGGGGAGATCTCAATAATTTGAATATGGGTGAGGCAAAAGTGGTGGAAGGAGAAAATACTGGGGCTGATATGGTTACTGCTGATTCCGCCATTGCTGGGATTTCGGCTAAGGCGTTTCAAATTGCGGAGGGAATCCTTCAAGCTGTCGGATCCGGATCAGAAATAAAAAAGACCCACCCACATAATTGATGATGAAGGATGGGCCCGTTCTATTGGTGGATACTCTAAGCCCACTAGTTGAGGTAGTCCAGTCCAAAGCTGTTTTGACTAAAGTTGCTTCTGGGTTAACAGTGTTTCAGTCCACAGCAGCACAGGAGGAACACGTGAAAGACAAATCTGAAAATTTGGAAGAGGGATGCTAGGGCTCAAAGTGGTTCAACTAAGATGAAGGATGTGGCGAATGATGTAGGAAAAAGAAAGGCAGAAGCTTCGATTGATGGTATGGAGGTGGAGCTGCAGTCGGTTTCGAAGAAAAAGGGTATCGTTGTCCAGGTATTTTTTGGGGATGGAGTCTCTAAATCCAATTTTTCAACAGCAAGTTCTTGTCTCTAGACCTGCCGATCGCCATGAAAATCTTAAGTTGGAACTGCCGAGGTGTTGGGCTATCTCGGACAGTTCATTTTCTTCACGAGTATGTGGAGAAGGAAAGACCCGATTTTGTTTTCTTGATGGAAACAAAATGTAGAGCTGAGGGTATCGAAAGGTCGAAAAGGCGTATAAGGATGAATGGTGTTGATGTGGATTCGATGGGGTATGTCGGGGGGATTGTCCTTGTTGTGGCAAAAGGATGTTTGTGTTTCTCTACAAAGCTTTTCTCGAGCACACGTCAATGTTTCCATCGATGAAAATAATGGGCAAAACGGTTGGCGATTACCAGCATTTTTTGGAGATCTGGACGTATCCAAATGTTCAGAATCATGGTCGTTATTAGGACTGCTTTGTTCACAGAGTGAGTTACCTTGGATTTGTGTTGGTGACTTCAATGAAACCCTTATGAACAGTGAGAAGAAAGGGCGGAGGGATAAACCAAACGGGCAAACGAGAGCTTTCCGTGAGGCGTTAGACAGTGGTGCTTTGATTGATCTTGGATATGAGGGGTACCAATACACATGGTGCAATAATTGGTTGACTCCAAATACGGTTTGGGAGAGGTTGGATAGGGTGTGTTCTACTGTTGAATGGTCTGATTGTTCCCAAATGCTGGTGTTCGTCACAAGTTTAGTGGGGTATCGGATCATTATAAAGTGCTTATAGATACAGAAGCAAGGAGCCCAATGAATATAGCTTTTGCTCGGAGGAAGAAATTTAGATTTGAAGCACCTGGTGAAACGAAGTGACTATGAATCTGTTAGTAAAAATGCGTAGATGTCTGGGATGTCACATCTGGGTACGAAGGGTTTAATTTATGAATATCCAGAATTGTAGGGTGGGTTTGCTGAAATGAAAAAAGGAGCAGGTTGGTAATGTTCCTACAAAAATTGAATCATGAATTCAAGATTTTTGTAGTGCTATAGAGCAGATGAGGTATTGTTAGCTCTTTCTCAAATGTATACAACTAAGTCCCCTGGCCCGGATGGAATGCCAACTCAATTCTTTCAAAAATATTGGCATGTGGTGGGGAGGGGGGATGTCCTAAATTGTGTGTTATCGTTTCTAAATGGGGTGATTTTCTTACTAAGCTAAACTACACCCTTATTGTTCTTATACCTAAGGTACAAAATCCCGAGTCAATGTCCCAATTTCGACCCATTGGCTTATGTAATGTTCTTTATAAAATTTTTATAAAATTGTTAAGGTCTTAGCTAATAGGTTGAAAAGTGTACTTTCTTTCTGTTATCTCCAAAAACCAAAGTGTTTTTGTCCCTGGCTGGTCAATAACCGATAATGTACTTGTGGCCGTTGAAATTAATCATTTACTTAAGTGCAGAACTTGGAGTAAAGAGGGTTATATTTCCTTGAAGTTAGATTTGAGCAAAGAATATGATAGAGTTGAGTGAATTTTTTCGGAGAGAATGATGGGAGCTTTGGGTTTTAAGAATGGGGGATACACAGTAGGGAGAGCTTTGTCGCCCTTATGGTCTTATCTGGCTTGAATCCAAATTAGTCGGAGTCTAAAGTGACTTTCGAATACTGGATGATCTGACAAAAAAAGAAAAGAACGGGGGATACACTTGATTATGCATTGTGTCAAGTCAGTTTCATATTCTGTGATGGTGAATAATGAGTAGCTGGATTATTTTTTATCCTCTAAGGGGTATCTGTCAAAGAGACCCTTGACCCCTTACCTTTTTCTTATCTGTGCAGAGGGAATGTCGGCGTTACTTACTGAAAGAAATGGTTTACTCACAGGGATCATGGTGGGTAGAGGTGTCCACGAATCTCTCATCTATTTTTTGCAGATGACAGCCTGGTTTTTTTCAACGCCATCTCTCGGAAGCCCATGCAGTACAGGAACTTTTGAGGCTATATGAAGCGGCTTCGGGACAGCAAATTAGTATAGAAAAATCGGCAATGGTGTGCAGCAAGAATATTCCAGAGATAAGAGCGGAAGAGTTGCAATCTATTCTCGAGTTCAACAACATGGAAAATAACTTGGTCAGCATGTCCAAAAAAGAGATCTTTGCATGTATAAGGGAGAGGGTTTGGAAGAAATTGCAAGGGTGGAAGGAACAATTGCTTTCAAAGGCGGGCAAAGAAATTTTAATCAAAGCAGTGGCTCAATCAATACCGACATATGCTATGGGCTGTTTTAAGCTCCCCGAATATTCATGCAGTGAGCTGAAATCACTAGCTTCCAATTTTTGGTGGGGACAAAAGGAGGGGGCGAGGAAGATACATTGGGTTAAGCGGTCTGAGATGTGCAAAGGCAAAAAAAATGGTGGGATGGGATTTAGGGATTTGAGGACTTTTAATATGGCAATGCTGACTAAACAAGCTTGGAGAATTCCTCATGACACGAATATTCTTTTCACAAGGTCTAGAAAGGGAGATATTTTCCGTCAACATCATTCATGTGTGCTAAATTGGGATACAGACCATCATATACATGACAGAGTATTTTAATGGCAAGGAAAGTAATTGAAGTTGGCTCGAGAAGGAGGATTGTTGATGTTTCCAAATATGGTGAGATAGGTGGATCCCAACTCCAACTAGCTTTCAAGTGGTGAGTCCTAGGCGGATTTTGGAGGAGGAGGCCATAGTTAGTGAGCTTATTAACCCACATACGCAATCTTGGAAATTACATTTGATCGAGGAAGTTTTTATGGAACATGAAGTTGAGGTAATTAAACGAATATTGTTGGGCGTTTTTCCTATTGATGATAAGTTGATATGGCATCATACTAATAATGAGAGGTTTCTGTTCGAAGTGCATATCACCTTGCCTATGATAGTAATTTATTTTCTTTGGGAACATCCACAGCAAGCTTGTCTTTGAGCTTTGGTTGTAATTGGAGGCTATATGGAAACAGGAAGTCCCAAGTAAAGTTAAAATCTTCGTAAGGCGGATGGTACTAAATGCTCTTCCCACAAATGAGAAGTTATGGCACAGGAAAATTTGTGTTGCGTGTGCGAGGAGAGGACATAATCTATTTTACACGTTTTTAAGGACTGTCCTTGGGCTAAGACGTCTTGGGAAGGCAGTTGTCCCGGGAATCAAATTTTCACTCGAAGTTTACCTTGTGATGGCCTTGAGTTCCAATCTTCAGTCTTAGCCAATGCACTCGTAAGCTCACAGAAAAGCACACACGAATAGAATAATGGGCAAACACTGAAACTCACAGTAGACACTCAAGCTTTACGGGCCCAATGGTTAAAACATTTTACTTCTTAGCAAGCCCAAAGGAAATCGGCTAGGGGTTTGTTTACAAAATCTGTCCAAATTTTCTTAGTTGCACTGCAAACCCTAACATGTCTATAAATAGCACACAATGTGGAGGTTACAAGCCCAACTGTCTAGGCAATGCAAAACAAAAATCAGATTCGCCCACAAAACTTTCCCCAACCTGCTGATCATGGATAAGTCCCTTTGCCACTCCCACAATCTGCTGATAGGGACAGTTGCAATTGTTGGCTGACCCAACCAACAACTGTCTATAACTTTTGTGTATGTTATGTACACATGCCAACAATCTCTCTCATAGTGTGCACATGCCAGTAATTGCACAGAACTACCCTACATGCCATGCACATGCTAGTAACTGTTCGGAACTGCCACCACTTGCAATGTACATGTCTTAACTGTTCGAAATCACCTCACATGTTGTGCACATGCCTTCCTTGTGAGCTCACAAACCTGATTAGGCTTGCCTTCGTGCCTAGCCATGGGCTGGGCATGGATTGGTCTTCCATGCTAACAATGCCCCTAGGGGCAGAGCCACCCTTGGGCCAGGGTGGGCACATGCCCCCCCCCACCCCCTTAGTTTTTTTTGTTTCATATTAAGTATATATTTTTTGAAATGATATATTTAATTGTACCCACCCTCATATTGTGTTTTGGTGATATTGATTTGAATAGATCCCTACCTAAATAATTGTTAACTTTTTGAGTAATGTTATTGAAACCTAATTTAAAGACTTAATACATTCCGATATTAAGGATAATAGTGAATCTTAATATTTAATAAACTCTATTATCTATGAAATAGTCGCAAACCATTGGGTGTCCATCAATTAAATCTCAAATTAGGTACAACTAATATAATTGTTAACTTTTAGACATGTCCGAATTTGTTTTGAACATATTGATGTTAATTTATAATTTTTTTAAATTGTAGGGTTATTTTGTTATTGTATAAAAATGTGTGTCGCTATGTAGTAAATTATAGAATCATAAATGGAATATTGTTACCCCGATTTTATACATAAAAGAAATATTGTTGATAAAATTAATTTGTAACTCTTTCAAATAATAAAAACATATCAGGGTCAATTAAAAGTAATAATAATTAATCGCATTCTCGATAAAAAGTTTTAATTATTATTTTTTTTTATGAGTATATCCATTTTTAATCTTCTATGTTTAAAAAGTATTAAATAAAATTTTAATAAATATAAATTTATGAACTTTTTACGGTCTATTAAAAAGATAATTAAAACATGCTAGTGTGCCCACCCTAAAAAAAATTTGAATATCAAATCCTTACAATTAAGGGGTTTGATATTCTCTAGAATTCTTCAGAATGCAACCACTGTAATGTAGCAATAAGTTTCCTACAATTTTTTTATATTGATTTATTCTTTCCTTGAATACCGGTTTCTAGAATGATCTATTCATTCTATATATTCTATGTACATATCAATTGATAAATATAGAACAGAAAATCCTTTTATTCTTTCATGGTATCAGAGCTCTATTTTACTTGCACCTCCTCTTGTAGTCTTTCAATTTCATTAGGCTATCTCTAGTTTCAATTGGACATCTCCATCTGTGCACTGTTGCACCAAGTAGCCACTAGGAAGTCTTTTACCACCAAACAATCAACGTTTCAAACAATCAAGAAGCTTGAAACTATTGTCAATCACTACAGAATCCCTCCTTGCCTATAAACTAGCACTATGACATCTAGCGACACATCATCATCACCTTCCCCTTTATTGAGTTCATCCCTTGTGTGCCTTTCCTTGGGAAGTATAATTAATTATATTTCCATTAAATTAGATGAAACCAACTACCTCGTGTGGCGCAGTCAATTCATCTCCGTATTGGTGGCTAATGATCTCTATGGTTATGTGGATGGAACCATTATTCCTCCACTAGTTATCCTTGAATCTACAGAAAGAACTAAAGTTTCTAATCCAGAATTTATATCATGGTGTAAGATGGATCATTTTGTTCTAAGCTGCATCAATACAACCCTCACCCAAGGCATTCTAGCCCAAGTCGTTGGGCTCTCTACTGCATTCCAGGTTTGGAATAGCCTCCATTCCATGTTTCAAGAACAGAGCCAAGCACGTTTCAATCTACTCCAAAATGAGATTCAATCACTCGAATAGGTATGGGGTCAATTTCAAATTACCTAAATCGGATCAAGCATCTCGCAGACTCGTTGGCTGCCATAGACCATTCAATGGCCTTGGCAAGGAATATGACTCCTTCATCGTGATGATGGAAAACCGGCAGCCATCACCCACCTTTGTTGAACTCAGGTCACGCCTATTCAATCATGAACAACACTTGAAGTGCTCATCTCGCTCTATGCAAACTACTCCTTCCATGGGTGATACAACTCTTGTTACTACCTATACAGCACATTGGCATCAAAATTCCCCGAGGTCGTGGACGTGATGAATATCGAGGGCGTGGTGAATCTTTAGCTAGTCATGGACAAGGGTATGTTCAGTTTTCTAATTCTCAATTTCATAACCGTGGCCGTGGTTAAAATTTTTAGGGCAATCGATATATGGGCAAATGTCAAATCTGTCGTAAACAAGGGCATAATGCTTTTAAATGCCGTTTTTCGATTTGATCAAGCTTATACTTCAAGACTAGGGATGTCAATGGACCAAAGCGGGGGCGGGGGGTATAGTCTTTATCCCCGTACCCGCTTAAAAAATCTTCGTTCATTCCCGCTAACGGGGATAATTTTCATCTCCATTCCTGTCCGTGGGTAAATTTATAATCCCTGTCCCCGTCCCCACTTTTCCCATACCCCCCCCCCCCCCCAAGCCTAAACCTAAGCTTAAGTTCAAGTCAATATAATCCAAAATTCTAAATAAATTCAATAATTTAAATAATTTAACAACATTCTAAATAATCTAACACAACATAATGTAGCATTACATATTCGAACATAACAAAAATCACAAATGTCCAAAATACTACTTAAATTTGATATAATTTAACATTACACAACATAACACAAATAACATAATGAGTGGTAGAATCATCTTAATCAACTCAACATCTCTTAACACCAACTTCACACCAACTCAATCATCACTTAACACCATCGGTGGTGGTAGAATTTACCTCTTCAACATCATTTTCCTATATCATTAAAAGAAAAAAAAAATTAGATTCTTTCAAAGAGAAATTTTCAACAAAAACGATATACCTCATCATTAATATCAAGATCCTCCAATAATGTGTAGCTCTTCAGGCCCGTCGAAGTAGATGAACCTAACAAAAAAAACAAATAATGTATTAGTCATACTTTACCCACCCCAAAAAAAAATTATGATGCACATACAAATAATATTTAATTACCTCGTTTTTCCGCACATAACCAAAACCTCATTTTTCAGCACATAACCAATTTTGAGAGCACATTAAAGCCTCTACTATAGTTGAAAGAAGTCTATTGCGATATGAACTGATCACCCTCCCACTTGTGCTAAAATCAGATTCTGAGGCAACGGTAGAAACAGGAATAGCAAAAAGATTTTTAGCAATCATTTGAAGCAGAGGATATTTGGGACCACTTGTCTTCCAAAAAGATAGTATATCAAAATCTAAACTTCTTGGCATCATACCATCTTTTAAGTAACGATCCAACTCAGATCTCTCACATACTTTTGTTATGTCTCTTGTTTGTATAAACTTATCAAAATCAGAGAGATCATCAATTAATGGGCATTTAGAATTAATATCTGATTGAAGAGGGGGAGGAGAAGGATGTGGTTCATAATCATTTCTTTGTCTCGCTTCATACTCGCCTACCAATTCTAAGCAAAGCTCCTTAATTCTCTTCACTTCACTTAAAGCTTCCACACCTCCATACATTTTCTCATAGTAATACTCCAAAATTCTCAACTTATACCGTGGATCTAAAACAGTGGCTATTCTCATAACACCATGAATCACTCTCCATTATTTGTTAAACTTTTCCAACATATTCAAGGCCATATCTTTTATCATGTTTTTGGGACTTTAAAGTCACTTAGATATTTCTACTCTTATCCCACAAATAGTTGGAAAGTATACATTGGCAGTAGGATACTTTGTATCTGAAAATAATTTTGCTGTAGTATGAAACAATTTCAATTTTTCACACATCTCTCTTGCCCACCTCCCAATCATCTTCAGTCGGACAAATCTTGTAATGAGAATCTCGATATTTCAAACGAGCAAACACATCTCTATAAATCTAACTAGTTTGAAGCATGAGAAAAGTAGAGTTCCATCTAGTCTTAACATCAAAAGCAAGCTTCTTGTTACTTGGAATATGTATCTGATGATCTGCCTCTTCAAATTTTTGCACTCTCTTGGGAGATGTTGTTCAATAAGCAACATTATTACTAATTCTTTCAATACCATCTCCAATCACATTCAAATCATCTTGAACAATTAAGTTGAGAATATGTGCACAACAACGCATATGAAACAACCGACCATGCAATATTAGTGAACTAAATGAAAGTTTATCCAACAAAATAGTCACAATTGCAT